ATGTTATGTCAGTCTTATGCACACCCCTTCAAATAAAGTGTTACCATATAGGTATATATATAATGTATGCAAGCCAGAACAAGTCAGGTATTGTGTTCAGGTGATTTAAGTGGCAGCAGACTGGAATTGTTGATTGACCTTTGGGCTTGTGCCACTGGATGAACGAAGGCGGTACTTGAAAACTCCTTGAATAACAACATCTCTACCAACTGGTGCCTATTTCCAGTGGTCATCGGGTGGGAGGCGGGGTACATCCTGGACAGGTTGCTGGTCCATGGTCAAACCTTGACGCTCAAACTTCTTTTTCAATTGTGGCAGAAGAGCACATACAACACGAACTGGACGAGGCAACCTGCAACAAACAAATATACAGAGAGATTTCAGAGAAATGGCACAAGCACAAAATGACATCATTGGAGTCTTGACAACAGCCCCTGAGTTCTCACACAGACTGGTGGGAATGTGCTTGCCAACATTCTCACCTACGCTTCTGTCCATAATTACGACCACATAGTGAGGAACACACTGCCAACGGAGACACACCCAACTTAACGAGAACCGAACCAGACGTTAACCAGCTATAATGAAACTTAACAAAGGAGAAGGTGCTTAAGCATCCACAGCTTTTCCTTACGCTCAAATGCATCATGTTTCCAGTGAAGATCTTCCAGACCTTCAGTCAGTGCATGATTTAAAGCAAAACACACTTCCCACTGAGGTCTCACAGGTGACAGGTACACATCAGAGCAAAACCCAAGCTCTGACTTCAAAGGTATTACCTGCAGGCTTTAGTGACTGATTTGAGTTGTCGATTATTTGAAAACTAGATTACTGGGTGCCTGCATAGGTCTTTCCACCTGACCAAAGTTAGTTGTCAGAAAAAAAAAGACCTTAATCACAGAGGTGACCAACAAAGAGTGCTTCCACTGCCCGTTGGACTCTCGTTGGACAGGGAGGGTTAAACCCAAATGCCTAACGTGGCGTCGTACTAGTGTGACGAGAGACATGATACTTGTCTTATGCTGGTCAATGACACAGTATCACTGTACCATTGTTTTATGAAGCTTCAACAAAAGGGGGCCTAGGAATGGCCCCCTTTTGTTGAAATCAGACAAAATAGCACACCGAACAGCACCGACTTGTGCCATACTGTTCAGTGGAAATTCATTTTCTTGATTAAAAAACAAAAACAAAAAGCAAACCACAACATTCATGTCACAATTAGCTTTTGGCTGAGACTGTTCCAGGTGGATCTTGGTGGAATGTCCCTTTAACTTAACCTTTTATTAACTGGGGGGATCAGGGGAGGCGTCGGATGATGCTGCCATGGGCGGTTGCCTATGTCGACCATATCAGAAACTGCCACGAACTGCAGGTGTATTGATGGTTCACCATTCCCATCAGTATCACATATTCTCTGTAAATATGAATGTGCAGTAGTGAAAATCGCATTGCTGTGCAGGCATCAGATTTAAACAGTCATTTCAACATACCCACAACTACAAGGGGTAACATTTTGGGTAATACATTGGTATTACCTACACAATAAAGTTCATATTACTTGATTGCATGACTTATGATAACACAAAATGTACACTCAAGTTTTTATGTTTTTTCTGTAAGTGGGGAGGTATTTTACTAAGTATCAAATATAACCAATTATTCTGTAATCAACTCGTAATTTATAATTTATTTATTGTTTATTATTATTTTTGCTTCAGTGAGGCGAAGGGGTATGCATATCAAAAAAACATACCCTTTTATATACTACACTTTCTATTAAAACAGAACACTCCTTCACAAAAGTTAGTATTCTGTTTCGATAAAGTGTCCAAGTAGGACTTCCGGCATGCTATAAGTATTGTATAGGATAGGTATGCCAAACCGACAGAACAACGTCACTGAAACGTCGTTCTAAAGAGTAACGCTTTCCTGTCACTCTGTGTGTTGTGTGTGTGTTGTGTCTCAGCTGGTTCACAGCTCCAGCTGTGTTATGCTCTTACAGTTTACTACAGGGCTCCTGATTGGCTACTTACACTTAACACAGCAGAGTGGGTCTGTGGAATGTCACGGACCGTACCATTTCTGCCAGGCCGGGGGTGCTAGCTTAATACAAGGAATGCAGTATTTTGTTTTAGATTTCGAAACCGATAATATGGCTAAAAATATTATATTAAGAATATAACTGACTTATTATCATCGTTATAATATACTTAAAGTGCTGTAATAGGGAATACAGGAAAAACTTTTGCCTGAGTGGCACCCTCCCGATCAAGTTGACGGTTTGGCTCAAGATGGCTGGAGAGAAACAGTTATGAGGATCGCAGGGTTTTCAAATTTTTCATGGAAAATGAACCGCTCTGCGCTTTGAAGACGCTCCCTCTCGGTAACTGGGGATCCAGGTGAGATACATTCAAAGTCATTACCGCGTTTTCACCCTTCTAGACGGCGTTTAGACCAGGAAAACCTAGCCAAACTCTGCTCGGCTGTAGGGTTTTGACGACAGCCTTTAGGAAGCCTTCAGGAAGATTCTCTGTGTTTGCTTCGTATTTTGAGCACGAAGACCGCCTGAAACCCGCAACAACTCACTTAACGTGGTCGCCGTTGCGCCAAAACGCATATGCAACTACAAATGTGTGGAGAAGTTGTTCCTCGGCTGTGGAATAGGAGGTGTGCAGCTAATGTATAGCAGGCCTGAGGCTAAACTCTGCAGCTGTGCAGCGCTGGTAGACGTCATGTTGCCGGGGTTCCCTGCTGTAATGCTGCTGCGCAGATAGAGCAGAGCTGTGTTGCTGAGACCGCACAGCCAAATAACTCAGGCTCAGTCAGATTGTATAGTTTGTTTCATTTCAATGAGAATCAATGCTGTTGCTGGGCGCCATTATCTGGCTTAAAATATTTTAGTTCTTTTAGCATTACCCTGATGATGGTTACCTTCTTTCGGTGGAAGTTGGTGTTGCGCAGTGGAACCACCTGTGACAGCTAAAACTTCCTCCAGTTTCATTGTTTTTAAATAAGGGTACACCGATAGGCAGTTTTCTGGCCAATCAGGGATCTTCAAAAGCCCTGATCTGAATCTGATTTTTGCCCATACCGATTTACCGATTTGAAGATACCGGAGTGGTTAAGTTTGCTTGTTAACTGTTTACAAGCAGATGTGACATGCAAAACATGGCTGGGGTTTTTTTTCAGACTTTTGTGGACATAGCTAAGATTAGTAAATAAGTTTGGTTTCTCACATCAATATTGGCCATTTGCCAAAAAATTAAAGCTAAGTTATGTAACTTTTATAATTTTTTTTTAACATATTTGCTAAAACTGTCATGTTGTGAAAATATAGTATGAGAGCGATAATTTGTGAGGAAAACAGCCAGGTCCTCTGCATCTCCCATGCTGCCATCTACAGAAATGCATCGCCCCCATTCAGAAACAACCAATCAGTTTCAGGAGGAGGGGCTTAGTGCTGTAAATCACTTTAGTGAAGATGCTTCTCACACCCTCCACCTTACTGTCTTTTTGTTAGGCTCATAGCAGAGCCTGTCAAGAATGCATGGGCTAGCTAGCATAGCTGTCGATGACAGCGGATAAACAATGTTCCTGTAATTTTGTTGTAATGAACAATTTCCCTGAACAATTTTGTTCAGGGAAACAATTAAACAGTTCTTTCCCTGATATTGACACATTTAATATCGCATAGACAAGTTTAATTGACAGCACTAAGACCCTCCTCCTGGTTCTGATTGGTTGTTTTTGAGTTTACATGTTTTTCATGTGCTGGTTCCTGTTCTCTCAGACTATCCAGACTTCCTCCCACAGTCAAAAACAGATTTAAGCTGATGGATGGATGATTTCATTTAGTTTAGCAATAGGTTTGGTTGTGTAGTATTCATTTTCTTGAATTTTTTCCTCACCAAAAATCTCAAATTTGTGGGAAAAGGTTAACAATAAAACAGTCTGGCAATAGCATCAATGATGCACAATTTTTTCCCCATGTGAGGAATGTTGAGCTGAACTCCATAAAGCAGAATTTGGTCAACACAAAGCTCTAGTTTTTATCAACTTGCAGATGTTCTGGAAAACTGAGCACATTTAAGGACAGTTTGTTACTTTTTTGTTTGTTTGTTTCCATAGTAACCGACAGTTAACATCCTTGCTAAAGAACGAGTTACTCTTAACTCAACAATGGCTGCATTTTGTTATTCATGATTGTATGATGTCAGTAGCATTTTTTTGTTTTTGCAAAACAGCTCAAAATAATCATTCAATAGTATTTTTTGAAGACAGCAATTTTATTTTTGGTAGCATAAGACATTTTGTCAGTCCCAACATCACTTCAATTTTATTTGGGATCCATCCAATTAACACTAAGGTGTGTATAAAGTATCATGATGCAAATGGTAGTCATATTCACACTAACATGGACATGAAATAAACATGACATTTTTTTTGTTGTGTTAATATGCAAATAAATTTTTGATAGGTAGGACAGAGATTTTTAAAGACTGCATTTGTCTCTAGATTCAGGGTCTGCAGCCTTCGAAGGATTGGACGTTTTGAAATTTGGTGGTCTAGACTTAAGATTTATTTCCTGGATTTATCCCAGCACATGTCCTGTCACCTAACAACTGTGACTGTGCTAAAGGCAACCTGGTAAAAATGGGGTTCAAAATCCTGAGTTTTTTTATTGCTTATTTAACACTTTTTAATTAACTGATATATTAATTGTCAAACTTTTTTTTTTTTTTTTTTTTACAAAAAAATATAGTAATTCCATGTCTGTGTAAATGACATTTGTAAATATTTTGCATGTTTTACATCTCAATTAGGTTAACTTATTGCCAGATCCTTTTTCCAATTTGCCAGTTCACATAGTAGCATTTATGCCTAAAGTGAAAAATTAATGGCCAGTCCAGGTGATTGGATGTGATTGGAATCGGCTGCAAAATATCTGATCGGAGCATCCATAATAAAGAGTTGATTCTTGATCAATTCTAGTCTTAAAACATTCCATTGTTGAGTGGTCAAACAAATTTACCAGCAATAATCTACTCTGCTTCAAAAAACCAGGAATAAAGTAGTTCTAATATTTTTGTAATAAAATCTTAAAGTTAGAGGGTAGGATAGTCTTTCCAAGTGTTGCACCTCATATTCAGGAAGAACAACTTGTTCTTTGTCCGTGTCTTAGAGTAAGACTTAGCTCTTTAGCATGCCAATAACGCTGTAGTGTGCATGAAGGTTTGGTACGTATTCTCTGTCCATTTATCCATCCGTCTCACCACAAAGCTTGTGTGAAGGGAATTCTATCTGTCCATCAGGGTCTTCCAGGTTCAGCTATAGAGGAGGGCAGCTCAGGGTTTTGTGACTTCTCTGTTTGTAGGCACAGACGGCTTTGATAGAACTTGCATTACACCCCAACGCCATCTGACAAAATATCACATTTTTACCGGTGTAGTTAGTCCAACTAACTCTAACAGCAGGGATACAATTGAAAGTAGTTTCTTTGGACAGGCTCATTATGCATGGTCCTGGCCTTTGAGGTGTTCTTGGAAGCAGGTGTTCCTGGAACTTCTGACACTTTCCTCAATGCTTTGGATCATTTCATTGCTTTAAAATCACAGTTAGTTTGGCCTGGGGGGAAAGTTGGCTGCCCCCCTTCAGTGTGGTGTTGATTGTGTGGGAGCTCCAGCCACGTCCCAGTGAGGTAGGCTTCAGCTCAAACTGTCACATACATCCACTCAACACAAACGCAATTATTTCTACATGTATGCTCGCCCACATGCACTAACACAAATAATCCAAATGGCTGAAGGTCACAAACATAGGTTGCTATTACATCAATGTCGCCTGGCTACTTTAACACTGGATACAGGCTTGATTTAATAAAGTCAAGCATTCAATAGCCATTCCATCTTATGCAGTCCTTTTTGTCAAGATAACTTGTTTTCTATCGAAAAACTGCAACTTGACGTCAGGCACGCAAGATCCTCCCCTCCAGCTTTCTGCTGGAGGATAAAAAACTGCTGGCCGACAATCACTACCATTGGCGTTAGCTGGCAATTTGTCAATATAATGCTCTAAATCTTTTTTTAAAGGTTTTGCTGGTTTTAGTGGCCTCTATTTGAAAGTAGTTCAACAGGAAACAGGGTAATGAGAGAGGGAAAAGACATGCAGCAAATGTCACCAGGCTGGGAAGCAAGCCTGCGCCCACCAGCACGAGGACTAAGGCCTCAATACGTGGGTCGTGCTTTGCCCCTGCGCCACCACAGCACCCCACGCTCTAAAGCTTAAACGTATGTGAGATGCATAAAAGAAAAAGGGACTTTGTGCTTTGCTACTAATTGTCAACACTACGACAACTAGATAACAAGGTCCCCAGGTATCGTATGTAACCGGTCAGGAATATATCTATATATATGT